ACAAAATTGCACCTGGATTACAGAGTATCACAATTTGCATTTACGCGAAGAATACGCGCCATATATTCCATCTCATAAATTTCCTTTCTCTCTCAATTTACTCGCAAAGTGCATCGGAAGGTGCCATATGGATTGGGATTATGCGATAGGTTCATTGTCGCAACGTGCAGCAACATTTCGCTCGCGACGTGCTAATCTGCCTAGGCTCGTTAATTTTATCGGATCGTTTCGGACCGGGCGAAGGCAAAGGGCCGCGCAGTATCGGGGGACGAGAAACGCTCACGTTCGCATTTAGTAACTCCATTAACGCGTTAACAATCGGCGATGGGTTATCGCCGGATCGCCGCGCTCGTGTACGGACGATCTCGCGTGTCCCGAGATAGCGCGCCGGGCAATCACGCTTTTCGTTCCGTTCGAATGGCGATATGAAACGAGCCGGCACGTAACATCGAGACTCTCCTCCTCGTATACAAAGTAGTCTTTAAGTTTTCGTTCTAAAAATTAAAAAAATAATTCCTTAGATAATTTCATGAAGAAAAGTCTATGTACATTTTTGTCACAAACGGTTTAGTTTTAGGATATAATTTTTTGAACATCCCGTGTATCCAGAATTTTCATAAAATTATTATAAAGAATTAATTTTATTAATTTTATCAATTTTATTAATTTTATCAATTTTATCAATTTTATCAATTTTATATATTTTATTAATTTCAATTTTATCAATTTTATTAATTTTATCAATTTTATTAATTTTATCAATTTTATTAATTTTATCAATTTTATTAATTTCATCAATTTTATTAATTTTATTAATTTTAGAGATGTAATTAAAAATCATATATATATATATATATATATATATATATATATATATATCACTCTCTCTCTCTTTTTCGCTCACTCTCTCTCCTTCATTTTTTCTATTATTGACGACCTTGCACGATCATCCCGCGATAACCGAAACAATTTTACGTTGCGATCAAACTCGATCGTTCCCAGAGTGTCCGATATTGCATTGCATATTACTCGATCTTATCGATAAGCCACTCTAAGATTCTGCGATAAACGAAATTTCTCGAATAACGCGGGATCTGACCTATAGTGAAAGGATCATGCTTCTTTTCTGTCAACTAAACAGAAAAGAGATGATTTATTTTTTTATTATTGGGATCAGAAATTTTATAGTGCGTGAAGATATTGACGAAAATACAGAGTGAGATAGTGTGTGCATGGGTAATACACTTTATCTATTTAATAAAAAAAAGAAATATTTGATTAAAAAAGCTGTAGAAGCTAGAATATTGATTCTGTGACATTTTTATGATTAATCTCTTTTATTTAAAACTGTGTCTCTTATTCCGGAAATTGAAACTTTAACATTTCAAGTTAGATTTATTATAGTAATATAGTAGTGATACATTTAATCGTGTTTCATCAACATTGTCAATATAAACAAACGCCAATACAACAGACGTTGAATTTGATGCGTATCCATTCGACGTTATACATATGAAATAACTTTATTATTGCCTATCTAACTGCAAATTAATTCGTTTCGCAAATATTTCGACCAAAATCGAAATGTGCAGTATTATGACAAACTAGCGCACTGTTCGAAAATAACATTTGTGGTTACACGCGAAACTTTGCACGGCAAATACCGCAGCCATAACGTTCCGTACTGTTCGAGTAGCGTGAAACAGAAACTGAAAAGCCAGACAGGATATACCTGACCTAACCCTTTAGCGAGATAACCAAGCACTGGTTGTGGTCAGTCATCCGTAGAGGTTACACGAACCTAACGTTACTCATTGTACCCATCACACAAATCTGCTTCCAAAATTCTGGCTCCTTCAACCGATTAGATATACTATGTAAAGCAAAATAAAGGGGAAGACAAATCGAGTATTTATTATTAACAAAAGAAGGGGAATAAAATCGATAAAAGTGTCAATGGGAGCGATCTTATAAAATTATTACACGATACTAGATCCAATATTCGGCACTAAAATGCATACAACTGTCCAAGGGCTGAAGAATAGGGGGCAAAGAAAAGTACATGTTTAAAAGATTTTCGTATATGCATGTGTCATGCGTTTGTACGCAAGCCAACATATTTTCATCCGTTCGTCTGGCACTTTTTCAAATATATATCACCAAGTATCGCACGTATATACACTACGATATATCGCGACATGCTTCTTTCAATTGATGCACCAACGGTCCGCCGCACGTGAAAGGTTGGGAGACGCTGACCTACATACATCATACAGACCGCTGCACTCTACACGGCAATAGAATCGACCTCGTCGGTTGTTCTGACGAAATTTCGACGTTGTAAACTTCCGACGACGACGGGGCTGTGCCTTTCGCCCGAAACTCTCATCGGATCTCCAGAATCGTCGGAACAAACTCTCCTTTCTCAAATCAGCACTGAACGAGAGTACGATCACTTTTGGCTTTGGACAAGAAGAAAAGGGTTGCTTTTAGTCACGATTCCAAGTTTAATTTTGCCCCCGTAAAAGGAACTTGAGAAGCGAGTGGAAAAGTGCTTAAATATATCAATGACAGGTATTTGCAGACCTAACGATCGTTCGAGGAACACGACAGAAGTATAAATGCTTGACTCGAGAGTCTGAATTCTAGATCGCTTCCAGCACAATTGAAATAATAAAAATTTCACTGCTCATCTAAAGAAAGATTGCACGATCGAGGAGATCGTGTTGGATTCTGGACTGCCATATCACTCTACTTTCTCAAGATGATCTTCTCGAAGACGTACTGAAATAAGTTGGCTTTTATATTATACAAATCAGAGAGGGAGGGAAGCAAATCCATAACGATTAGTCTATCGGGAAATTTCACATCAATCTAAAGTTTGAAGCCGATCGAAGTGCTTCGAGTGGTTTAATGCTTTCGGACGAACCGATCTCTTCCGAATGCCTGGAAACATTGGAAGTACTTGATTCTAACTGGGGAGCCGGGGCAATCATACCGCGGTAAAGTTTCGCTACTTGAATTTTCCGAGCATCTTGTCGGGCTTGCCAGCGCTCGCGAAAGGTCTAACAAATTAATACAATTATATAAACATAATGCTGTAACGGAATTTGCATATTTACGTAATTTATTCGCGTAAATGCAACTTTACGAATGTTGTTTTTACGCTATTTTTGTATGCCATTTAAAATGAAAACTACACGTATGCAGGAACGCGAGACATATGTATATATTATGTTAAATATCACATGCAATTGTGTCGACACATTTTTTCTATTTGCATACATAAAATGGCAACTATAGTACTTATTATTATTGCCGTAAAATATTTAGCGTATTGCCGTAAAATATTTAAAGGCGAATTAAATCCGATTTTGGCGCATTCATTAAGAATAGGACATTTAAATTACTGTGAAATGAATAAGAAAATTTTATTTTTTTTTATCATCGAAATAAAAATGTGAAATTTATTGTAAATATATAATTTAATCTAATATCGCACTATTTTTTTTATACATTTCGCGGCAATTTGATTCAAAAACCGTGATTAGTTATTAGATTTATACCTTAAGTGCTATGCATTTTCTTTCTACGATGATCTTGAGGCATCAACCGCGGAAGAGGAAGCAAGAAGCTCGTCTGAGGAGAATGCAAGAGGAGAAGGCAGATCTGCCGCATTCCTCGAGAGATCGGGATCGTATTTCCGGGCTCTCACAATTTTAGTATTTATGCAATATCGCGCTCGGTCCCTCTGGATCGCAAGATAGGTCGTAACATTTGAGTAGGAGCGAACTTACTAAGTACCGCTAAAACCAGTTCTCCTCATGCTTCGCAAATTCTCTCTCGTTTGATAAACAATAATCACGGTCACGATGCAAAAATAAATATAGAAACGATGATTGCGAGAAATAGTAGTTATTTTACTTTGAAATATTTATATTTCATTATTCCAGGCGTTCTACAAAAATAGTTGGTTTTCACTATTTTAACATTCATACGCTCAAGAGACAGTCTCAATATTTATTTTATCACTTCTTTTCATTTGTATATTTTTCACAGAAAAATATTCTGAAAAAATTTTTAATGTTGTGTATTTTATAATGACACGTATTAATAAGTAATTTTCTCCTAATTTTAATTTAAAATCCTTATATGAAAGTCCATCCGCAGAAAGAATAGAGCAAAACTCATTCCTAGAAGCAATAAATTTTTATCTTCATTTGACGCATTGCATTAAAAATAAAATATCTCGCTAGACGTGCAGCTCGGTTGTAATTAAATTTGACGAAATGTTTACGTAATGGATTAAAGTAATTGCATTTTTAATCTATTATTTAATTAAAATAGACCCCTACATGTTGAAACACGTTGTATATACATAGAGTCGATTGTATTTTATTTTGAAATTTTTCACAACCATTATACAAAGTTAAATACATTTCCATTTCATGTGGTATAACACGATCGTTCATCTTTTTCTCTTTATTTACACGACTCGCCGATATATAATAATTCAACGGGATGATTTTAATCTAACATATGTTGAATTGCTCCTCTGTTTTATATAAATTTCTATCATTTATACGAATGTCAGAACAATGTTGCATCATTATTTTATTACAACTTTTTACATCTACGCAAATTATTAATTATTTCGTGTACTCGTCGAGAACCTATCGAAAATACTCGACTCATAATTTCCATTAAATGAAATCCAATTGGCTACGTTAACCTAATTTGTGTATAAGCGCAAAGTGGAGGGCTGGCAGCTCCACATTAACTTAATATTTGTTCCAATGAAAATTTGATATACCTAGCGTATTTTCTGTTATATTCGGGTAACATCTGTCAAATTAAATTAATTATCCATTTAACATTTTAATTCGAGACATGAAATTTTTTTCGTATATATTTTCCACTCAGTTTTGATTTATCACTCTAAAATTGACGGTGTATACGTATAAATATTTACTGACCGTCAATCGATTATTGTGTTTCAGATATCGTGGATCCGGCGACGTGATTTTCATGTCTTAACGAGCTCCATGTTCACATACACGAACGACGAGCGATTTCAAGTGCTGCATCCCGAAGGCTCGGACGATTGGACTCTTCAAATAAAATACGTCCAGGACAGAGATAACGGGACATACGAGTGTCAGGTAACGTGAACTTGGCACGAACAGCCTTGTTACGAATTAATTAATTCAGTGCATTTCAACGACTTTTATTTTTTTCCGACTTTTATCGCGATGTGCTATTTACTCGCTTGGCCACTTTATTTGCCGCTTTAATCGATCGCTGTTTCTCCTCTTAATTTTTTCACAAAATTGACGAATCGATCCGATCCGTATTCAAGCTGACCTGCGGTCTATTGTTCCTGATCGTTGATCGCAGCATGAACAGGAAACACGCCTTTGTGCTACAACATGCAAATTAGTATCTTTAATTCGGATGTATATTTCAATAATACGCGTTATGTGAAGGCGATCGGTGATTTATGTGGGATATGTGCAACGAGAGTAATAAATCCTCCTATCAATAATTCCAAACATTGCTGATTATGTACACCGCAACGTACGCATTATCAATTTGGCATTAAATGTCGACGTATATTCGATACCTAATGCATCGCATGGTACATTTAATATTCTTTTATCACGTAACCGATATTTAATATTCCATAATTATTAAGCAAAAAGTGAAAATATTAATTTTAAATACGAAATATCGCAACATATGTGCGGCATTTAAATTCAAAATGCCGAAAACGGAAAGAGATATCATGAAAAATGCTGCAAAATCCACTTTAATAGGGAGAGAGATGAAATGATTTTATATCTACCTGGATATAAACGTAGAGAATTTTTTCGTCACATCACTAGGTGGTATAATTAAACGTGACGGCGGGCACTAACACATAAATTCGCGAGCAGCGCGGATAAGCCGGGTACGTTTTTCCTGCATTTCATACATTTTTCCGGCTAATGGAACGGCAAACACGAGTCGGCGGATACGTGTGAGCTCGAAAGAAATCGGACAGCGTGAATAACGAGACACAATGCCGAGCTTGCGCTCGCCGTTGAGCAAATCTCCTGCGGTAATCTCTGATCCTTCCTAAAGTTTCGACTACTGAGGACTCAGGTTCTGGATAGCAAAGGTGGCTTCTCTCTTATGTTAATTTCGGGCGCGAATATTCGCCCCGCGGCGAAACTTTTACCGGCGAACTTGCAGAACTTTCGTTTCCGCGTTACATACTTTCCCCGATCTCTTGCTCCGAACAGCATCTTGAAATCATTGTCCGTCAGTTTCAGTAAACTTCGCGAAGAAAATTTAAGCGCGAGTAAATTTAATGACTGTGAGACGGAACAGTGTTCTTTGCGCGTCGCACATTTTATGAAAATTAATAATACACAGTAAAAAATGGTGCGTCCATGTGTTAAAATTTTCTTGCGTTACCACGTTTTGATTAGTACTTCAATGTAAAATTGATTTTGATTACTACTTCAATATAAAATTGAACACAACATGTTATTATTTTTATAACGTTTTCATGTGTTACATTTATGTCTCCTTCATAACTTAATACTTTGTATATGTCTCTTAGAAATGGAATATTATTTTAAGTATTTTTAACATAATCATTTTAAACAATCAACAGTCTCAAAGTCAGTTTAATATTGTAAGAAAAGTTTAAGTGAATCTTCAAATAATCTTAAATTTTGACATAGAAAAATAATTAAATTTACTAAAATCAAATGTTTCTACAAATACAAATAATTTAAGTTAAAATAATTACTATTATATTTTAATGTCTTCAACATTTCTTACGAGTTATTGTAACTATTTTTTCATGTAATTTTTAATTAATTTGTATGTTATTTTTACATTACACTTAAAGTCACGATAACAAAAGTAAATGTAAAGTATTGTGTCAATTATTTAACATTTTTAATTTGTTAATAAGTAACATATGACGAATGAATTATTTTAACTTAAAATTTTGAGTTTCTGGGACATGTGAAAAATGTTATAATTAATATATTTATTTTGTACTGTATATCAGTTAAAAAAAATTACGAGAGAACCGATCTGATCGAGTTTCTTATTACAAAGATCGGGCATTTATTCAAATTTGTAAAATGTAATAAAATATTCGTGGTAATATAGATACAAATATTACGTTTAATGCATTAGAAGAGCAAAATGATATATAGAATAATTACCAAAAATTGAATTTATTATGGAATAACGAAAATACGTAATTATTAAACAGAAATACAATAATGGATATTAATAAGTATTCAATGTGTACAACATAATATCAAAAGCCGATTACAACATTGAAATTTAGATTGTACCTTTGTAATTTAATAATTGAAGCGCGAATGAAGGTACAAAAATAAAATGGCTAGTTACACTTATATAATAATGAATTAATTAAAATAGATAATTTAACCATTCGAGTATGAACCTAAATTTTCTTTCAAAATATAGCTTTACCAATTAATCTGATACTTTTTTTCGTTTTGTACGTTGTAATTTATACCAGACAATCAATTTTAAACTAAAATCCATTTTCCTGTTATGACTCACGATTTCGAATCATATAACAGGTGTAAGATAAATCGAATACGAAACAATATACGAGGAGCTGTGATTCGAAAAAAGATCGATGACTGTTCAACTATATTCAACGGCTGTTGTTGAATGCATGACGACGTTCTATTTATTAGGTCGCGACAAGGGGAAGAGGAGAACGAATGTGGATAAACGATAGGTGTGGTTGTATGGCCGCAATGCAACTCTCGGCACTTCATTATGCACTGAGCATGGTAATCACTTTGTCATAAGGTCGATAATGCATAGGTGTGTGTTTCTGGCCAGCACGGGGTGAGTGCCGTCCGTTCAACGCTCTCGTGATAGTTTGCGTGGCTTATAATTAGAAATTATCAGAGATGCGATGAAACGTCTGAAGCATCCCGATAACGTATCATGTCAAAGTTTATTATCCACGACGTCATGTTCCATAAATTATGATGATTTGCGTTCCTTCAATATCCCGCATAATTCTTGCATGTAAATATTAAATTATATTTAGAGACTGATACGTAAAGAAATATACGTTATATATAAGCGAGAATATCCACGATTTACGCGAGTAAATCTATCTTGCAGAGATTGAGTAGATCAAGATTTGTGTATAAATAAATTTTACATAAATAGAATAAAGCAAAATCATGGGAGGAAACAAGATGAAACAACTATTTTCCAAGTTTGCAAGGAACGCTCCCCCGAAAGTTTGTCGCGTTACAGTACTTTGACAGTTCGGTTGTCGATCAAGCTGTTGCATGCACTTTTAGAGACATCTTCGATTCGTCGCACGAACATGTTGCATATTGGTCGCATTTGATATTTCTCACGAAGCATTCTTGCAACAGCAATCGCTCTTGAATAATCTTTTTAAGATAAATCGTATAAATCAAGATAGACTTAGTAAAGAGCATCAAAGAAATAGGAGGCTCTCTAGTGAGTCCCATTATCTTTGTCGTAGAAAACATTTTAGCGCGAAAAGCATCGAGCACAGCTATCGCGAACGACAGATATACTGCGGTGACCGTTTTATTGCGGCCACGATTAAGTGTAATTGAAGACGGAACGTTGGAAAGCTTTACGAGTAATCGAAAGCTCGCTGCAGCAATGTCTGCGGTAAAAGTGAGAGAACGGGTAATGTATACGTGTATACATGTGAGTAGATGTGTTTACGTGAAAAACCTTCTTGATAACCGGTTTCGGTTTTACCTTCCGAAACATTTTCTCGCGTCGTCGTGCATCAGACTCGGTCGTGCATTCACTAAAGTGTCGCGGAAAATCTGATAAGATAATGATGTATATACAGGACGTTTCTTAATAAGTGTGAAAAATTTTAAGAGATGATTCTTCGTCGAAAATTAAGGGGAGTTTTTCATATATTCCTACATCCCTCCCTGTAGAATTACACTCCTCTAAAAATGGGGGTAAAAATTAGATTTTTATTTTTTCTCAAATTTGGAACAAGTTAAAGAAATGAAATTAGGTATATATTTTCTATTAGTAAAAAAGGTTATTTATTAATATTTTTTTCAGTCTCCCATATTGTTATAAGGGGCTGAAACTAGCAATCCTTATTCAATTTTTTATTAGAACTTTTTAATAGACCGGAATATGATCGTTTAAAAATATGCATTAAAAAGATTGATTTATTTAGAAATTTTTTATTTCCTTAATTTTTTTCATAAAATCAGTAGTTTTCAAGAAAAAAAAAAAAATATGTTATCGTGCGCAGCACGATGCTAAATAACATAGATTTCGAATTACGAGAAGTTAAATTTTAAAATAAAAATGAAATTAGAGTAAATGTTGACAAAATTGGAACAAGAACAAAATTATAATAAAAACCTAAAAACCTAATTTTTACCCCCCATTTTTGAAGAAGTGTAACAGAGGGAAAATATGAAAAATCTCCTTTAATTTTCGACAAAGAATCATCTAAAATTTTTCGCACTTATTAAGAATCACTTTATACATATATATATATATATATATATATATATATATATATATGTATGTATGTATGTATAAATGTATATCTAAAGAAGGGAAATTTAAAAAAAAAAGGAAATTTATATACATGAACTTTCTATGAAATTTTTTCGGAATTTAGAACTTTTATTTTTCGATATTTGCGCGATGTAATTAGAGTGTAATAAATTACATTTTCTAAGGCGGATTATAGAAATACATTTAAAATTTTGCATCACATCCTACCCGCCAGAAATGATTTCACGTACAACTTGAAATACAACAAATTTCAATTTTCCTCACTATTCCACGTAAATGGATCGTATAATATTTAAAATATAAATTAAATATAATTAAAGCATCCCCGAACATTACTGCTCCTGTAAATGCAAATGTTTTCTGCAGTTCTCTCGCATTTTGTTGCCAGGTATGTATTTATCGGAAAGATACATCGAGACGTATTTCAGCTTTAAATCCCCATCACTTTTGTATTTAACGATTGAATACAACAGGACGGTGTCTCTTGCTTATCGTGGGATAAAGCGGCCGAAAAATATTGCGCAACGTCGGGAAGCTATCTTTACTGCGATTATATCGACAA